ACACCCTTTGTGAGGTGGAAAACAATTTCAAAAAAGTAATGAAAATTTTAATAGAAAATTCTTTGCCCAAGTTGGACCTTGTTGATACACATTAAATCATTAATAAAAACAGTGTAAAATGTAATTTTGTGTCATCTTCATTTGTGGCAGTACTCATTGGATGTTCTGGCTGCTGGCTGCGATGTTTCTCTGTGATACCATACATATTTGGGGTTGTGGTTGGAGGTATGTTGTGCCAGGTATTGCTAGTGGTTGGAATGTGTGGATTACATTCCACAACTCAACAGTTGTGTTATACAACTGGTTGCTAGCAACCTTAAATGAAATAGCTTACTGTAGTATGAACCATGCAGTGCAAGAAACTGCACAATGTAAACAGCACACATTAACCATTGGCTACCGACAACATGAGAGAAGAATGATCTGTTCTCTAGGAGAATGGTAACATTACAATACTAACATGGTGAACCAATGCAGCAAACAGTAGAATAAATTTTACGAAGCCTATGAGTGGTCTACTACAGTAATAAACACAAAGCTACTTGCAGCTTATAACACTTTGAAAGATAATTTTTAAATATCAAATTGTGGATTTAGGATCGCCTAATTATTAAATTAGGTTTAACCTCTTGTTATATACATTGTATATATGACTGTATCACATGTATGATTTTTATGATGATATTTATTCTTATTTTGTTGTATTTTATTCTTAGTTTTAACCAAAGTCTAGTATAAATTTTGTCTAGACTGTGAAATGAATAGAAACTAATTTGTACGAACCGTTTTGAAAAATAGGAATGTTAGCATTTCAGTTCCGTAACAGTAGGTGAGAAAAATTGCAGCACAGAAGACGACTCATTTGAGGTAGAAACATGTAGTGCATGCTATACAAATAAATAATAAAGTATTGTTGCACTGATGGTAAAAATTATGTGTGTTCTATGGAAATACACAACAGGATGCAATACTAAAAATATTGAAGATATTTTCAAACCAACGATTGGGAATGAGAGTCTGCACGAAATTAGTATTGATAATGGAGTCAGAGTAGTAAACTCTGCCACATCAAAAACTATTACGGTCAAAAGTACAATGTTCCCCCATCGTAACATTCGTAAATTTACCTGGGCGTCTCTTGATGGGAAGACAATCAAATTGACCATTATGATAGAGAGGAGACAGCATTCAAGTATACTTGATGTCTGATCATTCAGAGCTGCAGATGGTGATACTGACCACTATCTGGTGGTAGCAAAAGTAAGGGAAAGACTGGCAGTGAGTAAAGAAACAACATACAGAGTTCATATGGAGAGGTTCAGTCTCAAGAAATTGAATGAGGTAGAGGTTAGGGAGCAGTATCATGTTGAAATTTCAAATAGGTTCACAGTTTTGGAGGGCTTAGACACTGAGGTGGATGTTAATAAGTCTTGGGGAAACTACTAGAGAGAATATCAAAATTTCTGCCAAAGAGAGTCTAGGTTACTACAAACTGAAGAATCATAAGCCATGGTTCAACAAAGGATGCTCATAATTATTAGACCAAAGTAAGCCAAACTGTAGTGGTTACAAGATCCAAGCAAAATAAATGCAGACAATCTCAACAATATATGATGTGAAACCAACAGGCGTTTTAGGAATAAAAAGAGGGAGTATCTGAAAGACAAAATTGATGAGCTTGCAACAACAGTAAGAAGAACATTAAAGACCTGTAAAAAGGAATGACTTTAGGAAGGGTCACCAACACAGAAGTGAAGTGAAGTGAAGGATGAGAATGGTGACCTGTTTTCAGATTACCACATTTTGAATAGGTAGAGGAACTACTTCTCTCAGTTATGGGATGTACATAGGGTCAGTGATGTTAGGCAGATAGAAATACATACAGCTGAGCTGTTAGTACCTGATTCCAGCCCTATTGAGATAGAAATTATTATTGCAAAATTGAAAAGGTATAAATCGCCATGTAGTGATCAAATTCTGGCAGAACTGATTTAAGCTGCAAGTGAAATATAACATTCTAAGATCCATAATCTAATTAATTCTATTTGGAATAAGGAAAAATTGCCTATCAGTGGAAGGAGTCTATTATTGTACCAGTTCACAAGATGGGCGATAAAACTGACTGTAGTAATTATCACAGGATATCACTGCTATCAACTTCATACAAAATTTTATCCAATATTCTTCTCTCAAGTTAAGTCCATACATAGATGTAATTATCAGTGTGGGTTTTGACATAACAGATCAACTATGGATCAGATCTTTTGCATTCATCAGATGCTGGAGAAAAAATGGGAGTACAATGAGACAGTACATCAGCTATTTTGACTTCAAGAAAGCCTACGATTCGGTTAGGAGGGAAGTAGTGTACAACATTCTGATAGAGTTTGTGATACCCCCTGAAACTAGTTAGGCTGATTAAAATGTGTTTAAACAAAATGTATGGTAAAGTCCATATAGGTAAATACTGCCTGATAATTTTCATATCCAGAATGGTTTAGAACAAGGAGATGCTTCATTGCCACTGCTCTTCAACTTTGCTTTAGAATATGCCATTAGGAAGGTCTAAGAAAACCAGGTGGGACTGAAATTAAATGGGACATATCTGCTGTTGGTCTATGCTGATGATGTGAATATACTGGGTGACAATACAGATACCATAAAAAATCACACAAACTTTAATTGACAATAGTAAGGAGACTGGTCTAGAAGTAAACACAGAGAAAACTAAGTATATGTTGGTACCTTGTGGCAAAAATGCATGGTAATATCAGGGCATATTATTATTATTATTATTATTATTATTGGAAGGGGTGGGTTTCCCCATGCACCACAACCAGGTTGATCTATTGTATGTCCCCCTGTGATATTCTACCAGTCTCTATACCCTACCGGTACTGGTGCATGTCATCAGTCCCGACTCAGCCAGCGAGTTGGACCTCTACTGGCTTAGCGGTATCTAGATGCTTCCCCCATCTACCAGAGGCGTTAGAGACTATTGTTGGGTGGGAAATGTCCTTCAATTTGGCTCAGAGGTCTCCTTAAGACATGAGGTTCTTTTACGTGCCGTAAAGCTACGACATGGGACCCACGGCTTAAAGTCCCTACCGGAGGACTTGTTCCCTGAATTTTTCCGCCCTTAAAAATTCCACGACCTCCGCTGGGTTTGAACCCGCGTACCTTGAGTCATGAGGTGGGAACGTTACCCCTAGACTACGGAGGCCACTATATCAGGAGATAAAGACATGTAACAGACATTTTGAAAGTGTGGCGCAGTTCAGATATTTGGTAACGACTGTAACAAATCAAATCCTGATTCAGGAGGAAATTAAGAGGAGACTGAACTTGGGTAATGCTTACTACCATTCAGTCCAGAAAATATGTCTTCTTGTCTGCTGTCTAAAAACATAAAAATAAGAAATATACAAAACTATAATTCTGCTTGTGGTTCTGCACTGGTGTGAAACTTGGTGTCAGACATTAAGGGAGGAACACAGACTGTGGGTGTTTGAGAACAGGGTGCTGAGGAGAATATCTGGACCAAAGAGAGATGAAGTGACAGGTGTCTGGAGAAACCTGCATAATGAGGAGCTTCATAACTTATACTCTTCTGCAAGTATAATTAGAATGATCAAGTTAAGGGGGAAAAGATGGGCAGGGCATGTATCATGAATGGGAGAGAGAAGGAATGCATATGGGATATTGGTGGAAAAGCTGGAAGGAAAGACACCACTGGGAAGGTGGGTGAACAATATTAAAATGGATCTTAGGGAGACAGGATGGGATGGTATGGATTGGACTGATCTGGCTCTAGATAGGGACCAGTGGAGGGCTCTTGTGAACATGGTAATGAACCTTCGGGTTCCATAAAATGCTGGGAAGTTCTTGAATGGCTGCACAACTGGCAGCTTCTCAAGAAATACTCTGACTACAGAATTAACGCCAAGTAAAGAACTGTGGTGTGAGTTTCTTTCCAGTAGCTGACAGAATAAAACAGCAGCACTTAGCAATAAATTGAAGTAATTTTCTGTTTCTCCAGTAACAGATGACACAGTACTATCCACGAAGTTGTAACTGACTCAACACAGAACACCAGAGCAGACTTGGACACACACCCCACCTCCCACCAATTCAGCCCACTCACTATCTACTGCATCACAAAATGCTCTCAAAACTTTTCTCTCAGAACCACACCTATCTTAGAAGATTGCAATTAGCTACTGCAGTGTAAAATTAGCAATACTTTGTAAATTCACAGAAATTTATTGCTGTAAGAGGACAGAGCATTGGTGACACAATCCACAGGTAGAGAAAAGGGCTCATCAAACATGCCCACCCAAAAAATTGTATACACTGTGCACATAAGTAAAATGTTCATAACAGATAATACAGAATATATTATTTGTTCTAATATTAAATTTTCTTTGCCAATCTATGGCGATATTATTTATCAGGGATGACATTCAATAAAACTGAAGAAAATTATGTAGTGTACAATGAACACAAGGGCAGCTGCAAGCATATATCGAAAAGGCAAAGCCGCCAGGTTTATTCTATAAATAAGGGTAGATTTTTCCCGAACATTTGCCAACTTCCCTGACTGTACTACACTGATGCCTCCCCCAGTCAGACAGCTCAGCAACCAGTAAAGATGAAAATAAAATGCAGTCAAAAACATGGAAAAGTGTTACAGATGCTACCAGTACTAATACCATCTTTATACAAATATGCTGTAAGAATAAGATCAGTGGCAAAGTTACCACTGCACTGAAGCAGCATGATACTATTGAGGTAAAAAAAACATAGTATTGATTTTAACACAAATATAAACCCTCATACTTAAATACATGGCAAAACTGCATCCACTGCATTCATGAAGTGCAACATGCAATTCTTGCATACTTGGTGACAAGCCAGAGAACTACATCATTAACTTCTGAGAAATATCGATGTATGATCCTTGCTACTTAAGAATACTGGACTACTTGTTAAATACTTACCTAAGCTGAGCACTAGGAATGTGTTTTCGTACAAATTTAAAGAGGGATTCCTTCACAAGAGCTTCCTGCTCTGCTATTGTTGACCGACTCATTCTCTGACGTCCAACTACACAGAAAAACAATCTATTTCATTAAAAAGTAACTCTTGTAATTGACATTCTGCACACTTAATAACTCGGCACATAAAAACACTAATATAATTGGATACTGTGAAAGCAAAGATTCTACTAGCGACAACTACGAACCTAAGAAAACTTTAAGTCAATCACAGTTCATACATAATCGAACTCACAATCTTACCAAGTGGGGTTATATCTGCGGACTTCAATAAACTCTAAATTATCCTTCCAGTACCTCAAGCAATTACTATGGTATAAGACAACAACCGACACACTTGGCACTGCTTGGGAACAACTCTAGACTTTATAAAAGATAAGCGGGTATGTCTCCCTGCACAATTCACAGAACTTTCAGAAATTTTCCGATAATTGTAAACAACACAAACTGCAGTTGACAGTCGACGACTGCGACATCTGCACGCAATGCGTGAAATTAAAGATCCGTAGTCGAGTTCAATCAATAATAGTCTCATGCTCAAAATATCTGTTATAAGAAACGTAGAAAATCGCGTCCTTTTTTTTTCTTGCCCTGGACGTATTCGAAACGTTTCGTAGACACTAACTGATTCCATGCATTCACTACGTGTGTAATTAATTTTAAGTTCAGTCTTTGCATTTACGAAACCCCGGGAAACTTGATTTCACCGGCTTTAGCCTACCGGTTTCGTGTGTCGAGGAAGTTCGTATAGAGCGTTTATAACGCAACTATTTCAGTATAGATAGTTGACAGGAAGGACGGCAGACAGGTTGTTAGATTTATATTTGGTAGTTCTCGACTTCACATTTTAAATATATGTACATCTTATAACTATATTTAGACTACTTCCTAACGTTCACCATATCAGTACATAACCTGCATTGCTGGTTAGCATTCATTACGATCGGCATTTTATGTTCGGACCTTCCGTATCCCTGTTTGTATAATAAAATTCTGAAATCTGTTAAGTTGTTCCATAGAAATTTTGAATGTCGAGGATTACCTGATACCCCAGAATAACACAGAACACACTGAAATAGTCCAGTCCAGAAGGTTGCTAACTGCCTCTCGCCAGGACAGTCTTTCTTGGTTTCGAGCCCCATGACTTAATTTATGTTCGTTCCTAAACCGTACAGGTGTTTGGGAATGAGTTTCTTCATCGACAAGAAGAGTAGTAGTAGTCTTCGCATTTGTTGCACCGTAATTTCTTGCGAGTGTATCTGCACTCAATTCCTGCAGCATCCAGGAAAGGGCATCTGTACTCTATGGACAGCATACACGGTATATAAGTTGTCAAAACTAGAATTTTCGACCAGCTTAATCAAGCTTATTGGATCACTTCTTTCACAACGAAAATTTAGTGTTTCGCTGGAAGGCGAAATACCTATGCCAAGAGAAATGCAAGCAGGGGTCCCCTACTCTTTTCAATATGTACATAAATGATGCCCTCGAAACACATGGCGTTCAGCTAGCCCTCTTTGCAGACGACACCTGTCTGTATGCGACAGATTACAAGGAGGGTTTTGTTGTTAGAAAACTCCAGCGCGGTCTCAGCTCAATGGAGACCTGGTGTGAGCGCTGGAATATCAAAATTAATGAAGACAAGACTCAGGGGATCTACTTCTCTCGCAGTCGTCGTCCGCATATGTCTCATCTTACATTGAATGGAGGATATATTCCATTTGTAAATTGTGTAAAATATCTCGGAGTAATCTTTGATAGGAGCGTTACATGGAGATTGCACATAGAAATGATCGAAACCAAGGCCTTCAGAACATTTATAAGTTTGCATTCCCTATTCAAAAGTGAGCGATTAAGTGTTAACTTTAACCTCCACAAAGCTCTCATCAGATCTGTAATGACTTATGCTAGTCCCGCCTGAGAATTCGCAACACATACCCGTCTAATGAAATTGCAGCGCCTGCAAAACAAGGTTCTCCACACCATTGACAATTTTACAAGGCACACACCAGTTCACGATTTACACATAGCTTTCAAAATTCCATACGTATATGATTATATAAAAAAATTATGCAGGCAACAAGCGGAAGCCATACAAAATCAAGATAACACAAATGTTTGCAATATTGGACAAGGCGAAGACCGACATAGTAGAAGAGGCTTAAACTTTGCGGTGGTCAAGCATATGACCTTTCAAGTGACTAGACTGCCATTGTAGTGGAAGCTACTAGAAATAGAGCATAATCTGCTGTACTGAGTCTGGACTGACAGAGGCCTATCTTTAATACATTTATTATCATGTTTAACATGTAAAATGTAAATATCCTTTACATTATGACAAATCACTTACTACTACAGACAATGACTCTTGACAAAAGACAGACCCGTCCTCTCATCAGAGGGGGCACCCCATGATAACAAGACCTAAATTGTCAAACAGTAATAAATATCTGGTCATGAGCCCCAGATTGGGCTTGACACCAAGACTGACTGACTGACTGGCCATCAATCACAATCTGACTTCGACTTTAACTCAGAGAGGAGTGTATCAGTGTAGTGTGGTCAGAAGTCGAGAGTGTCCAGTTGAAGATACTGATTTGTGTAATGTTGTAACAAGTTGTTTAAAGGCTCAGTAAATTTGATCATCAAATCCAAAACCCATTTCATAAGTCACACAAACTCGTAATGTGAGAAAATATGTCATGCATTAAAGTGTGTACAAATATCATGAGAAACTGACTGGGCAAAGACATAAACACCATTAAGGGAATAATAACATAAACATGGCAAACTTCAAATATTTGGGAAAGACAGCAACAAATTAAATCTGCATTCATGAAGAAATTAACTTGCATCATCTGGAATAGAAGATTTCGATCTTCCAGCTTTATAGTGCTCTCAGATGGATTTGAACATGGTAGCAGTGTGACACTAGACCTGTTTCACCAAACAGAATAGCGTGACATATGCATCATACACAAAAGAGCAGATTACATCCATGGAATACTTCTTGTCTTCCTATCTGCTATCAAACAGTGAACAATATACTGTATGTTGTGGCATGCAGACCCGTTACTAGGCAACGACCGTGAAATAAACAAACTATACAATGTCCAATGCTAAGTGATGGCTCTGTAAATAGCAACAGAGGAATGGTGTTTTCTGTGAAGTCTGTGCCAAGATGTTATAAGTGGGACAAATTACAAGTTGTTAGTAAAGAGTCAGTTCATAGTTGAGGCCAGGGACAATTTAGGGACCCAAAGAAAGGGGAACATCCACCATTGAAGCCGCTACTAAGTGATGGCTAATGAACACTGTAATGCACTGAGAAGACCTGTTGTATCTTATGATGGGAAGTCATAATGTTTTAATTATCACAATGAGAAATTCATTATTCCAAAATATTGTTCTATATAAAAGATTTTCCTGTGCCAAGTGGATGGAGGGAGTCACTGGAAGGGGCAAAAGCAAAATGGCGATGTTGGTTGAGAAAGCGGAGGCTTGCGCTGTGCTATGGTTCCTGCATTTGCAAGGGAAGTCTACCACGGAGGTCTACGACCAGATGACCGCTGTGTATCAAGAAGGTGTACCATCATATGACACAGTGGTCAGGTGGAAGAGGTGCTTTCATTGTGGACAGACAAACCTCAAAGTGGAAGACCATCTCTTGCTGAGGAACTGGGAATTGTGGCACAGGTGGAAGCTTTGATCCTATCCAGTGGGCGCATAACTATCGAAGCTATTGTTCATGAGGTCCGCATTAGCCATGGGTCGGCGTTCAACACCATCTATGAGGAGTTACACATGACAAACGTTGCTGTGCATTGGGTGCCACAATTGTTGACACCAGTTCAAAAACAGCAATGGATTGATGTGGCAAAGAAACTTTTGTAGTTGTGTCAAGATGAAAAGGTGGAATTTTTTGACCATGCGCTCATGATGGATGAATGTTGGGTCTATCATTATGACCCTGAAACAAAGGAAATGAGCAAGCAGTGGAAATATGCAGACTTGCCACCACCAAAGAAGGCCAAATCCCAGCCGTCGTCAGGAAAGGTGACATTGAGCATGTTCTGGGATCGGCGGGGTGTCATCATGACCGACTACACGCAAAATGGCATCACCATCACTGGCAAGTACTACCGGAACCTTCCGAGAAAATTACGGGAGGATGCGATTGCTGGGAAAAGGAGAGCAAATTCTTCATAACACACTCTTGCTGCAAGTTTGGGATATGAAATTCTCCCCCATCCACCACATTCACCAGACCTGGCACCGAGCAACTTCTTCCTCTTTCCACGGCTAAAGAAGGCACTTCGTGGTAAGCCATTCCAAGATGATGATGTCTTTTTTGCAGTGGAGGACTTCCTAAACAGTCAAAATGAGACCTTCTATGATCAAGGTATCCAGCAGCTGATGCATTGTTTGGGAAAATGTGTGGCCTTGCAGGGGGCATATGTAGAGGACTAACTCACAATTTCTTGCACCTGTCTCTCTGTTTCTTCTGGGTGATAATTACAATTTTATGACTTCCCCATGTATAGTGATTTGTGAAGTGTGTAGAACAGTGAGAGCATAACCCTTACTTGCTGTTATGGGTTGTAAGAGTTCAATAAAACAGACTGCCAATTGAACCCCTGTCTATAGTCACACTATAACGTGACAATATTAATAAAGAGCAAGTTCCATGAAGTGCGACAGTTTTTAATACAAATAAAACCTTTACATTTTGGCTGAAACACATAAGGGTTTTATTCATATTAAAAACTGGTACACTGTATGGAACTTATTCACATCATGTAAAATGCAATGCTTCAAAAATAAGTGAAACACCTTCCTTGAATACTAACATTGGGGGAGGGGTGACCCTCATGTCACCTGAAGCACTCATACCTCTACTCAGTCCACTGTGCACCCCTTTCTCACGAAGGCCCTTTAGCCCTTTGACGTGGTCATTTAAATTCCGCGGCCGCGGCTCCTGCGGTAATATATTCAGCCGGCCATTTAAATTTTGCTCGAAAATTATTTATTCATCATTGTTCTTAAATTCTATGAGATAGGAACATGAAACTTTCACTAAAATGATCTTAAATGGTGGTTTTATAACCTTACCTTATAATATGGGCGCCCTGTATCTCGGCCATGGAAGCAGGTTGTTTAGTATTTCAGCANTACACGACGAACCACGGCAACGGGTTAAAGAGTGCAACCCCAATGTTACAGCCCAAACCTGTTTCGCTCAAGTCCTGCTAATATCTATCAGCTCCAGCCGTACATAGCCAAAGACCTTCATTCTATGCTCAGCCATAGCTGTGCACACTCCTGCACACACTGCTTGCACGTAAAATTAGGTGCAGTCTTGATGTGCAGTGGCCAGTTAACAGTCCTGTAAGCAGTATGCACTGTTTCCTGTTCAAGACAGTAAGTATCTAAGTCAACTTTCCCGTAAGTCTTTCCAAAAGAGCTTCTACTATCATGTATGGTGTATCAGCCCTAAGAGAGAGGAAGTGACAGGAGATTGGAGAAAATTTCATGATGAGCTTCATAACTTGCACTGGACATGACACATTATCAAAATGACATCAGGTGAGTAGGAGATGGGTGGTATATAAAAGGCACACAGAATTTTTGCCTGAAAAGATGAATGTGAAAGACAGTTTGGGCTGACTTCTAGGCATAGATGTGAGAATAATATTAAAATGGATTGTGTTGCCTGGATTTATGTGGCTAAGGACAGACCAGCAGCAGATCAAGAAGAAGGAAATGTTCAGCTGAATAAGTGTCATTTATTTGTTCAGGAATATGAATACAGTACACATCCACAATGTTCTAATGCTGTAACCATACAAAGCAGCATTGTCACAACTACACACTAGCTTTTTGTTGATAATTCCTAGCCACTTTTAATTTAATGTCTATGCTAAATGTCACCTGCTTCTGAAAAGACAGCCTGCTCCCTCGTCTTGGTTACAGCAGCTTCATGCTCTTTTTAAGCAACAGGCTATAGATGCAAAATGTGTTTTTGTACAGCCTCTCTGCATCAAGTATAACAGGTAAGTCTGACATATTTCTGGATCAAGCTTCCTGACTGACTAAGTCACTTTTCAATGAACAGTATATTATAAATTTGTCTTATAAAATTATATGCCTCGCTAACAACTCGAGAAATACTGAATCTGCAGAACTTAAAAGGAACTCTATCAGCGCTGTGAATACTACAGCCAACAAACTCTCTTATGGACAATATAAAGTAGTCACACTGAACTGTGGTGCACTCATGTCAGTTCATGTTAAGACATACAAAAGGAAGCCTTTGGCAAGAGTACATTACTAATAGGGAACTTTATGTATATATAAAATCAGTCAAAATATCATAGTGGCTGCAGCCTGATTTACAAGTGTCCAAGAATGCTATCTGATGAAGCACTGTCGGCCCTGGGGTTCACTACCACTTCTGGGTATGTCGGATTTATATCTGAAGAAGACATTCCTGGATCATCAGTACTCCCTTCCGTATACGAGTAATCTTGGATCTCTGTCTTGCTTTCCCCACCTCTTGGAGTCACAGTTGATTCCGAGTTCATACCATTGTTGTTGCCATAGTCCATGTGATCTGAGTCTGTAACAGAGAGCCACAAGATGAACACTGCTTGTCTGTCGCAACCAGCAAGGTATCCCCTTTCAAAAATCAACATTTATAAGTTCTGAGTAAGCATGTGCCAATTCTCAAACTTCTGAGGTCAAACTAGGACAAAATATCTTGATCTTACATTGAGCATTTTCACATCTGTTGACACAACAATTTGTTATAAAAATATACAAATATAGATATTTACATTTAAACTCTGGCTGAGTCCAAAAGACCACCTACAAGACAATTCTGCATATACCATATGATTACAATGTTTCAACGACAGTCCCAGTACACCCAACTTGCAACCCAATTAAATGGGAGATAAAGCATGAGAACATACAAGAGATCATTCATTCATTTACTCAGCATTCCATAAATCTTTACATGGTTAAACACCAGTGGATATAGAAATAGTCAACATGAGTAAACATGATCACATACTGCATCACAATTGTGTAATGTCATACCAGTTAGCCATATAAAAATATTGTGACATGTTGCGCAACGGAGGACCCCTACCTCCCCAGTGGCATGTGGCGGTAACGTAGCGCTCCCTTCCCCCCATCCCCTCCACGGTGATGTAACGTGCAACGCGCGGTAACAGTGTTGCTAGGCTATACACCACGTCACAGTAGTGACGTGGCGGGCGACACTAGCAACAGCGAACGGAATAAAAGCCGGCTGAGCAGCAAGCGAGAGTCAGTGTGTTATCAACAGTTCTCAAGGTAGCAGCCTGTGAGTGTGCGATAACTAAGAAGTCAGCGAGCAGAAGACTTATTGTGTGCTTTCGAGACTTAGTGAGTGCTGTAGTACAGTTATATTTGGAGTGTGTAATTCAGGGAGATTTGTATAGCTCCCGCGTTATTAGTACGTGAAGACTTTGGTTGTAGGGTTTGTAAAGTGTGGAAACCCACAACTGTGTTATAATTAATTGTACCCGTTTCTTGTAGATTGTTGAATAAACCAATTAACGATCTCTACGGCGTATTCAGTAACGAAACACGTTACAATATTAATACACAACATGAACTAAAACCATTATCTATAACAATGAAGCACTATCAACTACCACCTGTAACAAATCCGAAACTCTGTCACAGTTGAAATATCTGTCCAATGAAAACGAATTTAAAAATAGGAATCTTTTAACAGCAGACCTTAAATTTTTTAATCTCATGAGCTTGGTCTTTTATATTAGGTGGAAGTTTATTAAAAATTTTAATTCCAAAATATGTTCCCTTTTGAAAGACAGTTAAGTTACACGAGGGATAATGGAGGTTATTACTATGTCTTGTGTTGATTGTACGAATCTCAGAATTAGATAAAAATAGATCTTTGTTTTTGACCATAAATAAGAAAATGGAAAAAATGTACTGTGAGTAAAGGGGCAGAATCTTTAGTCTGTTAAACAACTCCCTATAAGAATCTCTACTTCTAGAATTGGTGATGACCCTTATTACCCTCTTCTGTAGTCCAAAGATATGGATGTAGAAGGGTGAATTACCCCAGAAAATCAGGCTATGTCATAATAGACTGAAAATATGAAAAATATACTGATCTCATTTATTCTAATGACATACAGGGTTTAATAGCCCTAATTGCATAGAAAGCTGAACCCAGTTTGGACATGAGCCAGTCAGTTTGTCCTTTCCATGATGGTGCATTATCAACCATCAGACCAAGGAACTTGATATCAGCGGCTATAGCAATTTGACTGTTACTATATATGATAGGTATGTCCATTGTATTACTATTCTTGGTTGAGAAATGCATAAAATACTGTAACGCGTTTTGCTACTGAAGACAACGTTCGGATTGTTAATTGGTTTATTTAACAACCTACAAGTCGTAGCTACAATTAATTGTAACACTGTTTCGGGTTTACACATTTTATGGGAAAGCCAGAAGGAAAGACACCACAGGGAAGACCAAGGCGTAGGTGGGTGGAAAATATTAGAATGGATCTTAGAGATATATGATGGGATGGTATGGATTGGATAGCTCTAGCTCAGGATAGGGACCAGTGGAGGGCTCTTGTGAGCATGATAATGAACCTTCGGGTTCCATAATTGCTGGAAAGTTCTTGAGTAGCTGCAGAAATGGCGGCTCCTCCAGAAGGGCTCAGCTCCATGAGTAAGTAAGTAAGTACACACTATTCTATTCACTCTATCCTCAGTAGTCTTCACGTATTTATAATGCGGGAGCTATACAAGTCCGTCAATTACACACTCCCAATATAACTGTAATACAGCGCATGAAAGGTCTCGAAGGCACACAATAAGTCTTCACTGGCTGACTTCTCAGTTATCACGCACTATCACATAAAATCTTCTCACCACGCGTTCGGGTCTTCTTTCTGTGACTGCTGCTATATTTCAACTAACTGCTTAGGCAGTCAAGTCTCTCTTATAAACCCTCAGCCAGACAGTGGAAAATGTGCCTCGCTTCCCCAGTGCGTAATCACCATGTTTACAGGCGTTCCTGGGCAACACTGTTGAGAGTTGTTTACTGCTGTGTAGTAACCGCAGTATCCCTTGTTACATCACTGTGGGAAGTTCTGTTACGTCACCTTGGGGGAGGGGGTGTTTACTGAGTGTTGTGTACTGATGGAAGGAGTGGGGGTATGTGACGTCACTCATGAGACCGCAGAGTTCAAGTGACCCCTACTTCCCGTTGCACCATCCATGTCACACTGCTCCCTTCTAAAGGTTGTTCATCCCAAACAGCCTAACGATACATCCCCGTTCCTTTTTCTTCCCGTTGTCCGTTCTCCAACTGCTACATACACTCCTCTAAGACCAGCTCGTCTCAAGCGGTTTCCTGCTAACGTGGCAGAAGATCCAGTTTCAGAAGTTGCGGAAAGAAGACCCGAACGTGTGGTGAGAAGATTTTATGTGATAGTGCGCGATAACTGAGAAGTCAGCCAGTGAAGACTTATTGTGTGCCTTCAAGACTTTGTGTGCGCTGTAGTACAGTTATATTGGGAGTGTGTAATTCACAGACTTGTATAGCTCCCACGTTATTAATCAGTGAAGACTACTGAGGACAGAGTGAATAGAATAGTGTGTAGGGTTTGTAAATTGTGTAAACCTGCAACAGGGTTATAATTAATTGTAGGTACGACTTGTAGGTTGTTAAATAAATCAATTAACAATCCAAACGTTGTCTTCAGTAGCAAAACATGTTACAATACATTTTATTGAGATTCAATGTCAGTAAGTTAGCCTTGAACCATTCATTTATATTTTTGAATATTAAATTTAGTTCGTTTTTTCATACTCTCAATACGATTAGAGTTCTTAACAATAATACTGGTATTATTGGTAAGAATAGGTATTGATTGATTTACGCTTTATATAATATTTGACAGATCATTAATGTATAACAAAAACAATGAAGGACCTAAGATCAATCCCTGGGGAACACCATTGACAATCTTACCCCAACTTGAGTGAGTGCACCTCTTATTAGTTAAAACTCTTTGATGTCTACCATGAAGGTAGGATTCTAGTAACGCATTAGCATTTCCTATTATTCCATAAAACTTCAATTTAGATAACAGTACATCATGATTAACACAACCAAAGGCTTTATTTAGGTCACAAAAAATGCCTCCAACTGGTATTTTATTATTCAATTAATTAAATTATAAGAAGAGAGTTCTGTGGATGAATCACACCTGAAACCATATTGGTGACTGGATAACATATTGTTATTCTTTATGTGACAGAGCAATCTTACAAATATAACCTTTTCAGTAACTTTTGAAAAGGATGTAAGTAACAATATAGGTCTATACTTCATCACATTCGTTTTATCACGATTTTTAAATAATGGTATTATTTCAGAGTATTTCAAACGAGTGGGGAAAACACCCATTGAAAATACTCTGTTACAGATGTAAGTTAAAGGAGAAATAACAGCAGGTGCGCTAGTTTTTAGAATATTGACCGAAATTTCATCATACCCATTAGAATTTTTGGGGCTTAATGACTTAATTATGTTTTCAATTTCTTTAGCAGATGTAGGTTTAAGTTTAATTTCAGGGAAAGGAGTCGGAAATAACCCCAATGTTTATCAATATCAAACTCTATAAAATGATCACTCTTAGCATTATTGCTGTTAATTCTATCTACTATAGTCAGAAAGTAGTTATTTAAAGAATTGGCAGTTATTTCAGTTAGCTTCCCTTCAACATTTAAGAACTGCACTTCAATATTATTGATTCTCTTACCAGTAACCATTTCAATAATATTCCACGTGGTTTTAATTTTATTGTTAGAATTCGAAATTAATCCATTATAATAAAGATTTTTGGCTGCCCTAATGACATTAGACAGAATTTTAGAGTAAGTTTTAAAATAGGATTTAACGTTTGGATCAATACTGGTCTTCATGGACAAAGTGAGCTCTCTTTTATGTTGGCATGAGGTCTTTATGCCCCTCATAACATCGTACCCACCTAAAAATTAACCAGACCAGAGCAACCTGTATACCAGCAAAATAACTGGATACATACATATATTTTTAATCCATATTTGACAATAATTTAACCTTAAACTAGATATACAGTAATTTAAATAATCATAATTGAACTAAAAAGTGGATAATACCAAGAGTTCTGTAGTCATATTCATAATCTGGATCCACATTAAAAACAAGTTCAGCACCTAAGAACAAGCAGTACACCCAATGATGAGGCAATATGGGTCAAAACATTTCATGTTTTAAGGTTTTAATTAAGACTTTAATGAAAAAAATATGCACTGTACTGGGCACATAACAGGATGCAACACATAAAGATTGTACAAGCCATCTTGATCTTGACTGAAGCACCGGCTTTTCAGCCTTGAAGCCTGGTTCGCAGTGCTAATATGAATCAACCTGTCAACAAAATCTCTCTCTCCACCTCTTTCTACCCACATTCAAACTTTCTCTATTTCTGTATGCAGCATCAGGATCAGGTATCAAAACAGGTAAGTAGTGCACTGTGAAAAGTTGCTATATTTTAAATTCTGATAACAGTAGCAAAAGATATCTAGTACATAAAAGTTTTGTCTTGAATTGAAAAACGTCATTCTCGTATATTGCTAGTTTTGAAATTTTCATGGTAGTGATTGCTGAGCTTCAGTTTTCCTACGTCACAACAATGTGTACTGTTGACAATGGAATCAGCACATTCCTCCAAAACCAATGATATCCTCCTACAAGACTACACAGTGTCACAACTCTGAACATCAACATGCTGTTCAGTGACTTTTTTTTTTACTGTGATACAAAGTCAGAAGTGTGCACTGCAGTATCAATAACACAGGTTACTTAGCAAAGAATTATAACATATGCTGCNTCTTCATGTCCAGGCTGCTTTACTCTCAGTACCCAGTGGATAGGAGGTTGGGTGGGCCCCAGAGCTAGTTTGGACGACATGAAAACAAAATTCTTGATTGTAACAGGAATCTAACTCTGACCCTTAAATTAGGCCAAGACCACTCCCTTCCAAATCCCCATTATTCATTAATCTTATCACTTGAAAGTATACAGTGCAAGTAATGAACAGCACTGTTTAGCAAATCAGAAACAAACTGTTGCATATGTATGGGTGGAGGTGCGTGCATTTTGTAATTGTACAACAGTCATATGCATTTGGTAGTTAAAGAACACAGCAAAAAGGTATTTTAAATATCCTTTCAAAGCTGTGGTGGACTAACTTATAGGATGTAGCCAACCCAGTACACAGACTAAACAAATTACTGTGTGGTCCCCTCAACATATGTAAAAAGTACTTCACATTGTAGCTTCAGATATGAAAGACCTAAAAAACGCTGCAAGTCAGGACACCCTTTGGTAGAGTGCTTATAGTTCCCCTATATTTCATCAAATATTTATTATCTTTGTAATAAAATACTGTTTTACATAATCTTTCTGTTGTCACCTGTTAATTTAACCCCACACCGTATCATGATTCAGCTTACCACTTGGTGAAACTGAGTATTCTTGAAATACTGGGATACAACAAAACATCACATGGATGGAGTGGTGGTAATGCTCTGTACTCATATTTGAGGTGCTCGGTAAATCTCAGCTGGGGCACAGCCTATGGCTTTTTGCGGTTTTCTTCAGTCACTCCAAGAACCAAGAAATTACTTCAATTAAGCCACGACCACTTCTTTCATTCATCTGTCATTACACACTCTAGCTACTAGCAATGCCATGAAATAACAAACGGGCGTTTTTCTACCAGTAAAGGACTGAAGATGACTGCTCAAACAAGAATGAAGCATAAAGGCCATTTATGAGGGGTGCACTACTGACTTACAAAAATGGAACACATGGCAATATTCCTCAGTAAATGCAGTTCAATAACATATCTGCTGCCATGCCTCTGTACTGGGCCAGCCATTCTTCCGTGGAAACCAGACTCTTAACTCACTACGTTTGAAACATAAATGGAGAACGAGTGAAAAGCAACACTCTACATTTCAACCTCCCAGCTCTGACATGCAACACTGAATGCCTTCGTCCTCATAAGCTGTATACCCACACCCAAAATCACATACAAGAGATGGGTCACTGAAGACTATGGCCTGACAAGGTCAACAGTTTTCCTTCCTGACGGCATTGTGAGCCAAGTAGTCTTCCCAGTCACTACAATTTGAAATTTCTTGGATGCATGTCTGCCATTCATTTATCTAGTATCAAATACAGCAAACTGCCAGTGTACTGGTGAAAGTGGCACAGGAAAGCCAGCCGCAGAGGTGCTCAGAGTCAGAGAGTTAAAAGCTTCTCTGTATCTGGGTGGCATCTGTAGGAGGACACGACATTTATGGACCCAGTGGTAAGATTTCTTCACATGGTGGGATTGGCCTGACATACAGTGTACTTCAACTCATAGGGTGAGCACTGTCTGTGAATAGAGAACATGAAGAATTCCATACAGAGGGCTAAAACATAAAACCTCAGATGGTAATTTGCTGGATTCCAACAGAAATATGAGAGGAGGGGCAGAATGTAAGAATTTGGTTGAGAGAACTGTTGTAACATGAAAGAGGGCACAAGAAACATTAGAGGATGGACAAATAAAACGGATGGGAGAGTAAGAGAAAAGAAAAGAGAGGAGATAAAGATATGAAATTCTTAAAGCACAGTAAATTACAAGTGATTCTGCATGTCATCTCTGACAGATCATATGCTTGCAGTAATGCAAGAAAATCATGAAAATTTTTGGTGCTATGGTGAGCTAGCGCCCAGGACTTATTTGGGCCTGGTCACATACATCCGAATATTTGTCTCAGTACCCTTTGGAAGGAAGGAGTTACCAGAGTTCTAACACACACCATGTCTGCTTGTAGCTGTTCTGTTGTCATCGGAGAGGTTACCAGTGATTTCTTGTTTACCCCCTCCTTCAGTGCCTCCCACCACATCATTTGGTCGCTTACTGGAGCCATTTGCATCACCACCTCCTCTGCTTCCATCGTAAGTCTGAAAAGAAAATTTCATCATTTTCTCTTATATTTGTTCAATTTCTCAATTAACAAGCTTAAGGTCATCACCGAAAAACAGCACAAACCGAAGAATAAAAAGTCAAACTTCTCAGAAGCACTGTACATGCAGTTACAGGAACTTGTAAAACTACAGTAAGAACCACACGGTTCAAGGAACCGCATAATGTAGGCAGCACACATTAACCACTGGCTCCCGACAACACAAAAGAAGAGTGACCTACTCCCTGGGAGAATGGTTACAATACTAGTATAGCAAGCCAATGCAGCTAACGGCAGAAGAAATTAGACGAAGCCTATGCAAGACCTACTGCAGTAACAAACACAAAGCTACGCACAGCTCATAACACTTTGAAAGACCATTTTTAAAATAACTTTTAAATAATTTTAAATATCAAATTGTGATTTTAAGATCACCTAATTATTAAATTAGGTTTAACCTATTGTTATGTATACAACTGTATCACATATATGATTTGTATGTTGATTTTATACTTATCTCATTGCATTTTATTGTTAATTTTAACCAAGGTCTAGTCTAAGTTTTATTTAGACTGTGAACTGAATAGAAGCTAATTTGTACTGTAACCGTACGCATCCTTCACGGAAAGTCTTATTTGTTTGTAAGTAACGGTTAAGTTTAGCTGTAGAAATGAGATGCCCCGGAGGGATCATGGTCCTCTGAATTGGCCTTTTGTTGCGAGGGACAGAAGGGAGGTTGGTGAGTCCATTGCATTCAAGGGGGAGTAGGTATACCTTCTTTCGTCCGTGCCTGTGGGGGTGGAGGACCTGTGGATCGAAGCTTCGAGAAACTTCTAGAAGGTGTGCAGACCGGAAGGTGTCCGGGTATTTAGTCATGAAAACCTCCCAGTGGAAAGTTCGAGATGGCTAAGAACGTGGTTTCTGGAAGCAGCAGCGGGGGTAAGAGGTCAGTTAGTGAGTAGAAGCCAGGTAGTGAGGGTGTTCCTGTGGAACCTGTGCTAGGGGGTTAACCGATCGAGCCCGCATCCAAAAAACGACGTAAGCGAGCCAACACCCGTGTACCCCTGGGATGTAAGACTCATTCCGCTGAATTTAGTCGAGGCATACACCGCGTCGAAGTGAAGCGTGTGGGGACGGGTGTAGTACGAACCATTTGGAAAAATGGGAATGCTCGTGTTTCAGTTCAGTAATAGTATGGGAGAAATTTGCAGCACCTGAATATGACCCATTTGAGGTCGAAACATGTAGCGAGTGCTTTATAAATAAATAAATAAATAATAAAGTGCTGTTGCATTGATGGTAAAATTTATATACATATGTTTCACGTATATGTGATAGGATGCAGTCCTTAATAGAATCTAATGAAGCCTTCAGATGACCAATACCATCATCTTACATTATTAGATTAAAATATTTTATACAACTGACTACAGGTGGGTACAAAGGTTATGTAGATGACTCACATATGTTCAATAGTTACAACTAACCTTGTTCATGTCAAATCCATCATCAACGGGGTCCATAGAATCATTGCTAATGTCAATATCCACTGGCTCTATCTTAATCTCCTGCTAACAGAAAAAGAAGCATTCTTCAGTAGAGAACTTGCAGAAATAATGAACAACCAATCTCACCATATGACTGACGTTTTCAAGCATCATATGCATTTTTCAACATGCATACAGTAAAATACAGCCAATTTTTGGAGCTATGAATTCCATAATTTTGAATTTTGTAAATTTCTGCTGTGGATTCAAGTGCTGCATAAGTAATGATGTAAAAGTGAGGTGTAAGTGCTCTTCTGAGTAAAATTTCACAAACAATGCATATAAACAACAATTTCTCAGTGTTAGGTAAAAATTTCTGATGATATTAATCAACTGCTATTTGCTTAAAAAAATTCTTGTTTATCACTGAAACAAATTCTTGAAATAAAGTTCACTGACTTCACAATTTTGTGATCTGCAACAGTTGAACTAATTACAGAGTCCAACACCGACAGTACCACAGGTCATTCTCATGACAGACTGCACACACTGAGGTACTTCCAAAAACTATGCCTTACGTCTCATGTGACCATATGCCATCACTTGTCATGCATGGTACTTACCTTCTGGTTGTAACTGTGTAGTTTAGCACAAAATCACTAATGTTTAACCTTTTGACGTGGTCATTTAAATTCCGCGGCCGTGGCTCCTGCGGTAATATATTCAGCCGGCCATTTAAATTTTGCTCGAAAATTATTTATTCATCATTGTTCTTAAATTCTATGAGATAGGAACATGAAACTTTCACTAAAATGATCTTAAAAGGTGGTTTTATAACCTTACCTTATAATATGAACCCCCTTTATATCTTCAATGGAAGCATGTTATTTAGTATTTGAGCAGAGAATGGTACGCCTTGAAGGATGAAACTTTCACTAAAATGATCTTAAAAGTTGGTTTTATAACCTTGCCTTATAATATGAGCACCCGGTATCTCGGCTATGTAAGCAGGTGACGCCTTGAAGCATTAGTCTAAACACAGAGCTGGCTCTCGAAACGACCACCAAGGTCAGTACGATAAAATGGCGTCAACTGGAGCGATAATGAGTACTTTTCCCTCCCCCACACACATCCGTATCGTCTCAGGGGGTGACCACAGTGTTCTGCCTTAAATTGTGGCGTATTTCTAAGAAATGGGTGCTATGTACTGTGCGAAAGCAATCGATTTTACGAGAATAACATTTTGGACAACCCTCTTCTAAGAATTCCAATGGAATGTGTTTGTGTGGCCAGCTCAGGGCAATATGATATTATATACAACAGCACACATCACCTCTCTGGTGTTTATTACTTCACAAGCAAAGCAAATACGCCACTGAGTGACGAAACCCCTACAAGAAGCAACACGAATTTGCTGCAAGACAGGCATATGTAACGATGACTTATCTCAGCTAAACTCGTTGGCTTAGTATACTCTGTTCTTGTGACAACAGGCCAGCGAAAAATCCAACAATCTACAGCAAAACCATCAATTATTATGGGCGTTATAACATAGGTGTGCAGCTGGACGAAACATACACGCCGAACCCCCCCAGACGATTTAAATCCCTGACGAAACATACACGACGAACCACGGCAACGGGTTAAACACTTATCAGACTATACAGCAGCACATCACAGAAAACACACACAGTTTGAGGAAATGCTACACCATCTTCTGAGGACCAGAAAAACACACAAAAAACGTGTGCAGGAGTTTTTGAACAGAATCTGTAATTGAAATGCTACACCATCTTCTGAGGACCAGAAAAACACACAAAAAACGTGTGCAGGAGTTTTTGAACAGAATCTGTAATTGAAATGCTACACCATCTTCTGAGGACCAGAAAAACACACAAAAAACGTGTGCAGGAGTTCTTGAACAGAATCTGCAATTGAAATCAATCTAATGTAACATTATTGGGAAAATACCAACCCCAAGAGGAAGACTAGGTGGTTCCGATCTCCTGGCTCGCCGAAGTGGTGGCTCAGAGGCCACAGACGCCTGCTGGTAGGTTGATGTAGATGGTTGTGGAGATGGCCTTATGAGACGTGGTCGCCCCACTGGGTTGCGGTGTGGAGAGATGGTGTTCTGCACAGCAAATAGACACACACAATACATCTGGCACTGCACAGTGCTGCCCCCCCACTCCAATTTACATTTATACTGTCACATGTATGAGGGACTGTCAATGGGGTTTTGGATTGGAGGTTGGATTTCTTGACCACTTTAACACACAATTCGTGACCACATTTATTTACAGTGCCATTGTTTATCTTCACACTTTGTAGTTCACTAGAGCACACATTAAATCTTTTCCAGGTTCCTCTGTCTTCACCGGTCGATCCCTGGTTAATGGCTTCTTAGAGTAGAGATTCTTCAGCTTTTGCAACCACGACATTCCTGTCTGGCCACTGTCTCACAACTGAACTAAGGCCTAAATTTTGCCCCGCTTATAACCCCTCAAACTGCTTCCGGTCTTACCTAGCAACAGCCGCTGATTACACAGTCACTGCTTAGCAATGGGTCTATATGCCACAATATACAGGGCTACTATAAATATTCATTCGTTTTTAAAACGCTATATTTTCCAAAGTATTATACATACAAATATGATTGATATATAGAAAGAACCATAAACTCACCACGTTTGTATTGTGTGTACCAGTTGGCAGCACGAGTTCAGTGCCTTTACAAAATGGCGACAAAGCAAGAAAAGAGTTTTTGTTTGTTGGAATATGCGAGATGTTCGTCTGTTATAGCAGTGCAACGCGCATTCAAAAGAGAGTACGGAAAAGAACCGCCATGTAAAGAAAGCATTTTGTGGTGGTATCGGCATCGCTGGATTGGGCGTGTTGGTGAGGATGACGTAGCTCTGTTCACTTGGCCCCCCAGATCACCTGATCTAATGCCTTGTGACTTCTTCCTTTGGGGGTACATTAAGGATCATGTTTATGTACGCCCACTGCCAAGAGCACTAGCAGAGCTGTGGGAATGCATCCATGCTGCAGTGATGACCATTGACAGGATGATGCTACAAAATGTGTGGAACGAGCTCGACTACTGCCTGGACATGTGTCGTGTGACCCAAGGGGCACACATAGAACATTTCTAGAGTGTGAAGAAAACTTGGTGAGTTTACGGTTCTTTTTATATATCAATCATATCTGTACGTGTAATGCTTTGGAAAATATAGCGTTTTAAAAACGAATGAATCATTTATACTAGCCCTGTACTAGGTCCAATGAAATGAATGGCAAAATAAGGGTATTGGTTCAACTGATTTTCAGATATTCTCCATAGCATGTACCCTATCACATGACTTGCTCCATGCGTGCATAATGGTTAACTATAGTCCTGATGATCAATGATTAAATGACCACTTCCAGTGCAGAACCACAGTGCAATAATCCATCTCCAACTGTAGAATTCATGTTCACACAACTTCTGTTTGGTACGCAAATTCTTGATACACAGCATAAAAATCCATGTATATAATGCCTTGCACTTTAAAAACGCAAGTCTCCAATGAGCTTTGGCATTGTGCTGGGTGTTCATCTGAGCTTCATCTAACCAGCTTCTCTCTCTCTCTCTCTCTCTCATCTATTCACCAACTCGGACAGTGCGTGTACGTTACGCAGCTGCTCTGCATGTGGCATAACTACGATCATGCGGGAATAAAATGCTATTCCTGTAAAAGGTTGTGGAGGCCCATAGGGTTGTGTGACATCCAGGAACGACATTTTTTTAAAACTGACTCACAGAGGCGGTGAGGTTGTCAGCTTTAAGTACCGGCCACAGTTTTACCCTTATGAACATTCCCGGTAGTCATTTCTGTTAGAGGCTGAGTCGATCCCAGAGCCATGATGCAGCCTGAAAGATTAGGTCAATTGAAAAATGCAATGACCTCACCAGGAATCGAACCCACGACCTTCTGGCTTGTAGCATAGTGCCTTAACCATTGAATACCTCCACCTTGACTCTACGAGTCATAGGAGGCGACAAAAAGGGTAGTCTCAAATCTGAGACAGTAAAATATGGTCGCAAGTCCCAAGGGACTCGGACCCGAGAAAGACTGCGCTGGCAAGGGCCAGCAGTATATACAAAATACATACCTGTCCTCTCGTCTGAGAGGGCGCCCCACAAAAGCAAGACCGTAAACGTCAAACAGTAATAAACATCAAGACTTATTGACTGACTGTCGGTCACAATGTGACTTTGACTTTGAAGGGGTAGAATGTGTATGTGTGACATTATTACAAGCATTAGTACTGTTGTTATATTATCAGTCTCCAGCAAGCAACCTTGAATTCAAGTTTGTATGCGGATCCTGTGTAACTACAATAAATATCTATACATCAGTTCAATAAGTGGTTGTCTCTATATACAACAACCCAGATCCAATTTTTTCAACTAGGAATGCAACCAAGCCCAAATGAAGAGTTTTTGTCCATGACCACACATTAACTTCTCTGGTTTGGTTTCACTCTTCTTACAGTTATGACCTAAGGTACAGGCTGGTGCATGAAATGATCCAGTATCTGAGTTAGTACTGATTATTTAACCATGCAATTAACGATGTTTTGTAACACAGTAACACTTACAGCAGATCATGGACATTAGTTCTTATTCTTCCTGAGTGCATCAGTGTTGTGCTGTTCCTGCTCATGCACCAATTTACACAAGATGGATGGCAAAGGAAGACTGTCTGTACAACATTGCATACAAATACTGTTGTTCTTTAATGAAACAAAAAGTGATGTGGTCACACAGAGGCGGTTTTATGCCCATTTTCAAAAACGATGGGCGCCTTAATTCAAAACAATTCATAAACTTTATAACCAGTTTAACGATGATGATTCTGTGTTGTAGAGAAATTGTTGCTGGCCTTCAATTGTACGTTCTCTGGAGAACACTAAAGCTGTCAGAGTGGCGCTGCAAAGAAGCTCCACTAAATCAATAAAGAAGGCTGCAGCACAACTAGGGATATCCAGATGATCACTACAACGAATACTGAAGAGTGATTTGAATCTGTATCCATACAAAAAGACAGCGTTGCTTAAACTTACAGTTCACACCAAACATCAATGGCATTTTCTGAATGGGGTCAGAATAATGAGGTACCGTCCAACAGTGTTTGGTTTTCTGATGAGGCACACTTCTACTTGGATGGTGTCGTTAATAAACAAAATGTGTGATTTTGGGTGTCAGAGAATCCACGTGATTCATGAGAAGGTGCACCTTGCACCGAGAATTACAGCATGGGTTGCCATCTCAAATCGTGGACTGCTAGGGCCAATTTTCTTTGAAGAGACAGTGAGTTCTATTTAAGCATGTTGCGCAATACTTACATGCCTCACCTTCTAGCTACAGGTTTTCCATTACAAACTCAGTGGTTCATGCAGGATGGAGCCAGGTCACAAATGTTGTTTTGGACTTTCTGCATGACACTTCTGACTTGCGTTATCATCTCAAATTGATTTCCTGATCGTTTCACACATGGACAGAACTGACCCAGCAAACAGTCATGATTTAAACCGAGGTGGCTACTTTCTTTGGGGATTCATTAAGGAAAACATTTTTCTGAAACAGCCGCAAACAATAATGGAATCGAGAGTACTAATCATTCAGGCCTGCAAAGAGATAACTGAGGCTATGTGCCGTCCAGTAACCAACAACATCACAGTTCGTGCTGAAGAAGCTGCCACATGTAATGGTGGTCATACTGAACACTTGATTCACATAGGATAAATCTCCATGCAATGGTATTCCTTTCTGTATGTTAGTTTCTAGTGCTGTAATTGAAATAAAATTTTATTAACAGGTTAAATACTGGATCACTTCATGCACCAACCTGTACAAGAAATACCACAATACAGATTATTTCATAGGTTCAGGTCCATGCATGGAATATGATGGTACCATGGAACATTACTGCATCCGTTTCTTCTACAGTTTTGTTACTGTTATATTTGCACTGAAGGTTTCAATTTGTGTAAAGGGTGCATGGAACGGCCAAGTGTAATTTATTTTCACACCAGAGAACATGAAAACGCATGCAGTTATCTTAAATTAATCAAAGTCAGGTCATCAGATGGGTGAGTATGAATAGCACTGCCTTCTTAACTGTAATGCTATGTCACAAGCCCACACACACATTTCAGGGGAATGAACATACTGCCCCATTCAAGGTCATGGAGTTAGAAAAGCAAGAACTTGCTCTACTTGGCACCTGCTTAAACCCAGTGGACTTCTACTACAGAGCTATATACTATCACACCCAAGAAAGTAAGACTCTCCTTAAGCAAGGTCAGTTTACAGAGTTTTCTGTCAGCCAAGGCTGAATATATTAAATTCATGTATGATGGATTTTAATTTAGGTTTCCTGATGACATGGAAAGAGAGATGGCAGCCATGTTAGTGTTAATTATTGTCTCGTCACAAGATATGTAAATTGTGTTGAATTATAACAAGTTGCGCTACTTCTCAATACTGACAACAGCAGCTTACATTTCCACATCAGAAAACATGTACACAGAATATGAAACTATTAACATAAGAACTTACTCATAAAATACAGATGATGTTATTATTTTGTTCATTCTATGGCAACGCCTCAATGAAGCCCTCACCTCTTTGCATGAAGCCCTTAACTCATTGCATGTCACATATCAAATAGACTGGCTCAGGTACTTGCATCAAAACTGCCACACCTGAAGAGATCAATTAGTATACCACCTCTGTCAATAGGTAGCAACAGTGTGGCAAACTTATTTTTAATGAAAGAACAGACTTTCATTTGAGATATACCTGTTGTTACTATAAGAAAGTACTCTGGGGATTTCAGTTCAACTGCATTTACCATCAAGCAGCCTTATCTTTTTACCTGTTACCAAGCAGGTAGCTGTATGACAAAGCCTGGCAGTCAAAGGGATAAATATTCAATACTTTAAAACTGATACCTCAAGTAATTGCATGCACTAAAGAAAACAGATTTTAACGGGCCTAGTGACATAAACAGGTGATACTAACCAGGACAGAGAGAGGTCCATACACATTCCTAATAACCCCACCCACTACAATCAAGTTATCTAGAAATTTTAAACTCTGGTTGTCAATCTATCATTTGTTTATATTTTTCAAGAGAAAGAAGTCACCCTATTTATGGGCAAACAAGAAATTCCATGTTGCACCATCTAATTAACGACAAAAACTTAACATATTTATGCAGTTTTTTATGGTTTATATATAACATATACAGTAATGTTTAGGTCTCTAAAATTTATGCTGTTATTATAATACATCAATACACTGTACCCCATACTTGTTATTATTACTTTTAATGGAGGGTGTTAAAATTAATGAACTTCCTTGCAGAAACCTTGACTGACTGGATGGAAAGTTCTGATTAATAAAACACCCTTGATGATGACTCCTTGAGGTTGAAACATGTCAGGGTACTGAGTAAATAAATATCATGTTATGTTTCAATATGACAGTGGAACATAGACTGATGATTGAGAACATGGTGCTGAGGAGAATATTTGGGCTGGAGATGAAGTGATGGGAAGTTGGAGAATACTACTCATATGTAATGAGGAGCTTCAAAACTTGTACTCGTTACCAAGAATAACCAGAATGATCAAGCGAAGGAGGATGAGATGGGCAGATCATGTAGACATAATGGAGAAGAGGAATGCATACAGGCTATTCCTGTGAATGCCAGAAAGAATGAGACCACTAGGATGACCAAGACAAAGGCGTGTGGATAATATTAAAATTGATCTTAGAGAGAGAGAGAGAGAGAGAGACATCGAGAGGATGAGGTGATATAGACTAGGGCGATCTGGCTTAGGATGGGGCCAGTGGAGGGCTCTTACAAACACAGTAATGAACCTTCAGGTTCCATAAATTGCTGGAAAGTTCTTGAGTAGCTGTACAAGTGGCGGCTTCTCAAGAAGGGCTCAGTTCAACAAGTTGGTTTATGGAAGTATTTACAAAATTATTTTATATGACAAATTTTAATTAACACAAAGACCCAAAAATTTACGTATCTTTAATGACATGTAACGACATTGTATTTTTAGCTACATTTCCCACCTGTCGTGGAGTCGGCATAGATGCAATAGTTCTCCTCTTCCTGGCTCTTCTGGCACTGGAAGGTGAGGAAGTGGACTCATCCAAGAAATCATCCGTTGCAAGTGGAAGAGTGGGGGGAAGGGAGTCCTCATCATGCGATGAAGAAGTGGAAGCTGGTCCAGCCAATCCTGCAATGAGATTGCAGAACCCGGATGACTCAATGTTGCATAGCAGTGATAATAAGGGACCTGCGAAAGCTGCCGTGTCAGGTCCACAGACATTCTGATTACTTAACACTGTATCAACTGTAACTGTTCAACATCAAGTTACATACACTGACACAGAAAATGTAAATTACGTAGACTATGGGGAAGTTGTGGTCCATCTGAAAGTACTATCCTAGAATTTGCCTGAATGGACTTGGAGATGGAGAAATTTCCTTCTGCTATCTTCTGAATAAAAGTCAGACATAATATCACCAAGCTAACCTACTGTTATGCAAACTGTTTATAGCCAAAAACATGGTAAACATGTTCCCGCATTGATAAATACATATGTAACAATAGAAGAATGATGTTTTCTATGTGGCCCATGTCAAGAAGTTATAACTGGGACAGTTAGAGCAATGAGTCAGTTGAGTTCTGCAAGGATAACTTCAAATCACACATGAAATCTTTTCACAGTTTAATTCCTTTCTTGCCATTTCTTCATAATCACCTTCGAATGCTCACTCTCTCAATTCTATTCCTCTGCTCCCAAGCTCATATCCTGGAGTCTCAAACTCAACTTGACTACTGCCTGCTTTGGAACTCCTCCTTATAACCATTTTGCATGGAACAGCCTATTGTTGGGAAGGCATGTTTACAGCGCTGCTGCATAGCAACAGAAGTATGAGACTGCTTCTTCAGTTGCTGCAGGAATGTGTTTACCTAGTTGTTACCTAGTAATGAAGACTCACTATTCCGGCTTTTTGGTGTCATATGTCAGAATATGTACTGTATAATCTGTAACCTGCTCATGGTCTACAGTTTCACCTCTTGAGACCCCAATTCTGCTCATCTGTTCTCGGTGTCCAAGTTTCAGATCCACACAATAAAGTCTGAAGAGCCAGTAATGTTTAATAAAACTTTCAGAATGCATCCATTTCTTTTTCATTTCATAAAATGTAAAAGGGTAGCAAGTATTCAAGAAGCTGGCTATAAAGAAATGGTTACTGTGACAATACTGTGACAATGACCGAGACAGCCATGGTTAACTGCAGGAGGTCTTGCTGTGTAGTAGGCTGGGCATATGAAGACGGAACCAATATTAGCATCAAGGTATGTAGCTGAAAGAGGAACATGTGTCAATACTGGCCCTCTGAGAATAAGCAATTGAACATAACAATGCAGCATACCAATTGCCGCAAAAAAAAAATCCCATTTCCATTACTGTGGCTATTTACAGCCAAACAAAAATCTAACATACTTCTTCTTGCTACATGAAATGCCATATGTAATAATACACAAAGCAATTTTATGCAACATTTGAAGTTGTCACAGTAGTAACTATGAACAGGGCCCTTCTTCTGGGATGTGGCACCGTGCAATTTACCAGCATTTCAAAGGAACCTGGTGCCTCCTCCTTCAGAGTAGAAATGTGAGACAGTGATATGGATATTGGGAGATGGGGGACTGGAATTCAGGCCCATCACAGAACCAATAGGACTTAAGAGAATAATGAAAGAATATTGTTCCTTAGAAGGGTCATTTCCAAAGTGTCAAGTCTTCTTTACACTGTCTTCCTTATTCTTACTGGTTTACTCAGGGCCCCAACTCCACCCTCTCCACGTTTCCTGGCACCTTCAGAGCCCCCAGGTCTGTTATCTGTTCTCCCTCTTCCTGTATCTGATCAACTTTTTAATTCTGCATGAAAACAGACACATCATATTTCTATGAAACATCAGTAACCATCTACCACACTACACAGTGTCACAATCTAGAAGACACTGTAATTTTGAAAGCAGTACTGATACCACGTGCATAATTCAACAGTTTGTGGCCCTGACCTTTAATCTGCAATGCCTCGGCCGCCGCTAGCAGAGAGGGGAGCTTGTCTTGGCCCACATTCACCTCCCCCCTGTACATGAAGTCAACTAGGGCCTGCACCTCCCAGAACTTGAGGTCCTTCATGAGAACAATAGGGTGCTGGCAAGGATTCTGACTAAGGAGTTCCTCGAAGTATGAGCTGCAAGCTGACAGCATCATCTGTAAGCAGTTCACACAGCACTGTTACCGGACTCATTCAGCAGTTACTGGAAGAGAGCTTGTGAGGTGTTACAGAAACTGGTCAATACAATACAAATATTATGTTTCCGGACATTATACATCATCCTGCTTTTATCTAAAAACACTGTCCTGTTTATATTTCAAAACATCATGTTTCAGAGACTGGATTCTGTTTCCATCTTCATGTAAAACCTACTAAGTTGGGTCCAACTGATAGCGCCAGTCCCTATCTCCAGACACCTATACCAGCACCAAGATGGGGTATACAAACCAAGCACAGCACAAACCATATGCGAGAGCTCAGACAAAACATTTACACATGCAAAACTCTACATGTATGAGGCATTGCACCAGGGAACTATCAAACAGAAATCATCGCTAGAGAGATGACATACTCTGCATGGTACCAATACATGGAAAACAAATATTCACACTCAATCTACACTGGATGGAGTTGTAGTTTCTTGGCTTCTGCTGTGATAATGGAGTCCAGATGGGAGAGATGTCCAGACTGGGTTGACTGATTCGATGGTCTATCAGAGACAGGGATAAGAGCATCACAGAATTCTCATTATTAAAGGATCACATAAAAATCAACTTCTGCCTCTAAGCACACTTCAATACATTACTGCATACACATCTATATGTATTTCTTATTCTGCTGAAAAGTTCTGCTTAGTGATTTACTCCTCCTCTTCGCAACAACTCATTCAAAATGATGTAAGTGGATGGAGAATACGAAATAATTATCAGTTTAAAGCACAACAGCATTTATCTCATCCATACAAAGGTCATGCAAATAAAAACGGAAAACATGAAATTTCACAAACAAGAAAACCATGCGTGTCAGTCTTCAATGTAGTCTCCAATATGTCCAACACACCATCTAAAACATTGCACTAATGCCTGGATTCCTTCACAGAACAAGTATTGTGGTGTCATCAATTTCAATTTATCCGACAGCTTCGAAATGTGTATTACCAATGCCTCATATTACAAACACCAACCATCGGAAGCTGGATCATCTTTTGCGCTTCCGATGCACATTAGTAATGTGATGTCTGATGTTGCTGACATTAGGGCTGCACCCAGTGGCAGAGAAAAATCAGTGTACCAAAGAATTTTATTTGGACAAACAATAAATTTAGTGTTCTTTAAAATTTTCACCTGAAAAAAGGATCAACTTACTCATATACAGAAACATAATATTTTCTAAAAAAAAGAAGAAAGTCACGTTTTTTTGGAATTCAGTGCACACAGAACTTCAGATCTTCAGAATCCGTCATGCAAAGAACACCCAATGTAACTGTCCAAATTTGGGCATATACATTCAGCACTTTTATTTACCTTAATGTGAATTAAATTAACTGTTTTTTTGAAGTTAATTAAATTAGTGTGTCAATCATCAAATCAATTTGTGGCTTATTCGGATTCATCAAGTTTGGTGAGATTTACGTCAAGTTTTGCATTTAGCTGCAAGACTGAGGGCTCCACTACAAAACTGAAAACAGGAGACGAGGGTGCAGGGCTGGCATTCCTTTCAAAGTTCTATGCCTTGACATCAGCAGAAGTTGTAACATTTACGGGGGTATTTCCAGGATGATGTTATCTCTAGACTTCATAACCAGAGCTGGTAACCAGCAGTCAGTATCTCCCAAGTTAAATATCACTCACTTATGTCTGTGATCTGAGAAAGCAAAGATGCATGTGCACTCACAATGGTTTGAACCAGCCAATTAGAATCTAGAGGGCCATGTCCTTAGTTGAAGTTTGTGAAATTGAGGACAGACGACTTTCTGCAGATACGCTTGGCTTGAACACTCTGAATTTTGATGTGCCTGCGTGCCATCCAGCCCCAAATTCTAAATCTTCAACTCTGAAACCATTTAATCTTTCCTGACATTAACCCAATAATTAATTTTAAGAAATCATTATTTGGTAGTCCAGCATTTAAAATTAACAGTATTTTGGAAAAGCTGGAAGTGCTAATTCAAATTTTCTGGTTACAGAGATGGGAACTATTGTGTTTGTGCTGCGATATAAGTGCTTCCATAAACGTCTAGTGCTGATGATCACTTTGTCTTCTAAGTGAGTGAAGGGGTGCCACATGAGTGGTCAGCTCAGTTACAACCCTCAAATGTGCCTGTGACTGAGTCAAGTGCCTGCCTTACCTGAGCTAACCTATCAAATCCACCTGCAAAAGGACCAGTACAAATCATTATAGGGTTCTCCTTATCCAGAAATCTACTGACTTCTGATAAAACATCTGATTTATCTTCAGGTCCTACTGTAGCCCATTAGCCCTAACCCATTCTACAAGTGCAAATCACGCCCCCCCCCCTACACCAACCTGATGAAGTCCTAAAGGGCCACTACAGCTAACTTAAGTGGCGCCTGAAGATGACTGTGACAGTTATACTAAGTCAGTGCTCCTCCTAATGTTCAGAATCAGTCATTAATGGGACACAAAAGTTAGTGCTACCTATCTTTGAAGCATGCGGCATGACACACATTAAACATGTTATGTGACAGCATGGGATTAAACGAAAGTCACATGCTCGGGGGCACACAAGAGCTCTTGCCCAATTTCCCAGGTACATCTGATGTACTCCTGAGTCAACTTTTTGGTACTTACTTTATGGCATTTTATACTGCGTCCCTCACAAGCCAATGTGACGTCCACGAACTGCTCATTGTTCAGCAGACTTGGGAATGTAGCCTGCATGTTGGAGTGGTAACTGTTCCATCGGAGACAAACTTCGGGTGGGGGTGGAGGTGGCTGTGGCGGAGAGACAGGGCGGGGAGGAGCTGGCTTAGTGATAGCTGGCTTCGGCGATGACTGTGAAGATAGAGGTAGAGTCTTCTTGACAGGTGCAGGAGCCACCACCTGCTTTGTTCCGGGTGGGGCTTGTTGTGGGACTATAACACAAGGAACAAAATTTTATTTCTCCATGAAACAAGAATACTGGGAATTAAATTCTACATTAAACATAACTCTAGAAGTACAAGTACAATTTCATCTCAACTGGACACATGGAGTACAAACAGTTATTTCCACAGTATTTGTTGTAAAATGCTAACAAAGCTTTTGTGCATCCATGCTTTCTTCAAGTCAAGTAAAGCACAGAACTATCCGATACTTGGCACTTCAGCCATAAGCCCTCGAGCTGTTAGAACTTACATGTACCCCACATTACTAGGCACATAACTTCTTGAAATAATATAGCATATTTACTTAAAGCAAGAAATGTGGAGCCAGACAAACATCCACTGCTAGGTAACATCCGTTTAACACGCAACAATGAGGCAACTGCTGGAAGCGGTGTTTTCTGTGCGGTCCATGCAGAGGCTATATAACGAGGATCTGCTGCCAGGTGTGGAGGTGGGGTGGAATACCTGCACCATGACCCTGCGAGTCGTAGGAGGCGACGAAAAGGAAAGTCTCAAATCTGAGACAGTAAAATATGTTTGCAAGTCCCGAGGGACTTGGACCCAAGAAAGACTGCACTGGCAAGGGCCAGCAGCATATACAAAAGACAGACCCATCTTCTCGTCAGAGAGGGCGCCCCACAGAAGCAAGACCGTAACTGTCAAAGGGTAATAATTAATATCTGGTCATGAGCCCCAGATGGGGCTCGACACCAAGACTCACTGACTGACTGACTGACCGTCAGTCGCAATGTGACTGACTTAGAGGAGCCTTTGGCTCCACAGTGACCCTGCGAGTCATACGAGGCGATGAAAAGGGAATTCTGAAATCTGATGGCGCTATAGTTACTTGTAGTTACGTTCTGTAAGTGTTTAATAAATCCAATTACCAATCCAAACCCCGTCTACAGTCACTATCGCATGGCAATAAAATATGCTGAGAACAATTATGAAAATGACGCCTAACTTCACCGTAACGAAACACAGCACATATTCTTCTGGCATCACATTTAATTTCATTATGGGTAAGATACTGTTATCCACGGTTCTCAGCTTACAACGATGTACACTATAACGCATAAACATTATTTTTCAATCGTTTCGCGTCAAACAAAAATATTATACTGTAATTCTTCAAAGGGAAAAAATGTATCGTTACTTCTTGAGCCAGGAAAAAAATGCAATGCTTTCAGTCTAATCTCAATTTACCTAATACTTCCAGCAGCACTATGGCCCTGGGGTCGACGCAGCCTCTAACAGAAATGAGTACCAGGAATTTTCCG